GCCAGCACTCCCCGAAGGGTCCGAGTAGGCGACTACGTTCTGCATGGGTAGGTCTCTTAGCTTCGGAACATGTTTAGCGCCGCGCTTGTCAGAGCGACACACTCTGCGAAAAGGAACTCTGGTCCTATATATATATATGCATATGCATATGCATATGCACACCCTACACTGTGATTCTACATAATATGATAACTTCAGAGCCGTACTGCAACCCTACATTCTCTACATCCGAAAGAGCAAGAATAAGCCGAATCCTGAACCCCGACCTCTTGCAAGGCACATCCATCTTCAGAGCCAAACCAAGTTAGCTAGCTAACAGCATTATTGTTAGTTTTCTGCAGTACTTGGGCCATGTTTGCTCGCAATCTGCTCAGGCCCTGCGCCCAAGATACCACGATCTTCAAGTTTGAAGAAACAACCTGCTACTGCAGACTTTCGGGTTCAGGGCTTGCAGCGTTGCCGCTTAGGGGGTGAACCCCGAGAACCATGTCCAAAAACTGGAGCCGACCGTTCAATGGCAACCTGCTTTCGTGTCCGTGTCGCCTTCAGCCTCACTGGACGGACACAAGCTGACAGGGAGATTACATGGGGGACGGGGGCCGCCCGCCTTTCTGACCACCCTCCGAAAGAAAAGGAGCATCCTCAAAAACATCGGCTTGAGGTTTGCGACTTCAAGCGGACTAGGTCCCAGGATTCCTCTTGTGCTAACTCCATTACGGGGCCTGAAACTGATGCCCGAAGTCCCAATCAAACACAGAGTCTGAGGAGATTGCACCGGCAGCTCGGTGTTCGGGAAAGCCTATACGGATGTGGTGGCAGCGGGTCGGTGTGAGTTGAAATGCTGATATGAATGTCAATTAGACTGGGGCTTTGCGGGTGTTCTCTACCAAAAGGTATCAGCAAAGGTGCGAAGGAATAAATGTTGATACCCAAATTCACGGGGTATCTGACATGGCACCAGGTTGCTCTGGGGCTGCTTCCGGCTTAAGCTAGCGCATGGCTAGCGACTCTATGATTTCGGGTCCAATCCAAGCGATCTCCTGTTGGCTTAGTATGGGATGATAGGGGAATGTGGGAAAAAAGGGAACGACACCAGGGCTTCGCGGTTTGGATGGCTGTGGGTCCGTGAGTAGAGCATACAGCTTGCGTTGCTCCTTGTGCAGGAGCTCGAAACTGCACAAGACCTGCACCTCGACCCCTGCATCTGTCAGTATTGCGCAAGGCCACGGCTTCGTGTTTCACGTCCACTCCCCCCGCAGATGGTATGCACCGAAACCGTGGAGACTGCTCATCACCTCTATTACTCACTCTCAGACTTTGCTGCCATGCACAGACGTGCGGCAAAAGCACTTAGAGGTTTTGCCTGGGCGAGCCTCTGAACCTCCCAGCTCCTTTTTCCCAAGCCCTGAAACCCGGCACCTTTGTACCCCATAAACTCTGTACATTCAGCCGGCAAGCCCCTGCACAAACCCTGAAAACCTCTCTGGAATTCAGCAAACTCCCTGTTGCCGGATAAGCTGCGGTCAAGTTGCTTCCAGAAGTGGTGATTTGGTGAGCGGGTCACTCAGTGCCACCTCGATGGCACCATGTTTCGGGCTTGGGCCTAACACGGTAGGTAGAGGTAGGCACCAAGGTGGTTAGGCTTTGCAGGGCTTCGGGCTTAGTGGCTTTAGTGTCGAGACAATGGGTTTTGGAGCTTTGACCTTGAAGCCTGCGGGATTTGGGAGCTTTATAAAGGTGTAAGTACATTGGGATGAGGCTTCAGGGCAACGGGCTTTGAGTTTGGGGCTTCAGGTCCACACTTTCGGCCTTGTTTGGTGTTGGGTTTGGGAGTTAGTTTGCTTCGGGCGGGAGCCCTCATCACAGTAGACTTGTGAATACAGGACACATGCGAGCGCTGCGTTGAACCTTTCGGAGCCGAGGGCTGAATGCAGCCCGAACATCCTTGTAGCCCGATGCAAGAGCGACATCTGACGAGCATACAGAGCTGGCCAATGTCACAAATCGAGAGACACCCCTCATCCTTCTAAGCCGGAAAATGTCAGGCTCAGCACCTCGTCGACTGGAATACGAGTGTAGCCTCGGAAACCGTACCTTTCGAGAGCAGGTGTCCTTTTGATCTGATCGGGCGAAACGAACATGGAGGAGGTTCGAGGTTTGGGGTTGCAGGCAGACAGTGGAGGGTTACATTTTTGGGCTCAAACCATTTGATTTTGCATTGTGGCATATGCGACGATCGAACAGTAGACTGGCTATACTTTTAGAAGAGGAGGAACATGCCTAGTTGCAAGAGGCTCCTCATCAATAGGCCCTTTCGGAGAGCATCGGACTATGGGCCAATGCAGTCTACAGCAGCCCCAAACACATGATTAACTCTCATCAAGTCTGGTTTGGACACCGAAGCCCTTGCAGCACGAGTTTCTTGGACTTTGTTAAGCCGTTGGGATCAAATGTTATGCAAAGGCACCCAGAAGTGTAGAAACCCTGAACGTGCTACAACCGTAAACCAAAGACCCCACAGTAATCAAGAGAGACAAAGCAAACATAATTAACGAGAGAGCGAGAGAGACACAGAGAGAGGGAGATGCAGCCGGTCAAGAACATGTGAAAGGGATCGAACAAACTGAACGAGACGGTGTTATAAGTTTAAAAACAGGTCGGGCTGAGGAGCATCCTTCAGGCGTGGATGCTCGTTTTACAGTGTGTGTGTGTGTGCTCAAGATTCGGAGTAAGCAGTTTAGGCTGCTTGAAGACATAGATACATCAATTTACAATTGAGCACAAACCTCCAATAACTGACAAAGCCTCATCGGCAAATCGGCAAGACACCATGTCTATAAAGCAGTAAAAAGCCCATGTACGTGTAATCCCGTGTAGGCCCACCGTGTCCTATGAAACAACTGGCAAGCCTTCAGAGCGGATATACCGGTGCCTCTCAATCAGAGCGATCTTTCGCACTGTCTCCACTCGTCCGCCAAGTTTGCCTTCCGGATGGTGACGGGTTTGCGCGCGATCCCTTAAACCTAAGACACCAGTATCCGGACACTCCTGCTCGTGGGGCCAGTACAGGGTCCTTGTTGGGGGGGGAACTTTCTCGCGATTCTGATGGCCTGAATCCATTGAACTGGAAACCTCTCTGCCCCACGGTGTCTCGCCTTAAAATCCAGCCGCGAGGCGAACTTCAGAGACTCTAGCGAAGCATGCAAAGAATTGAAACTTCATCATCTCTCACGCTTCAGCCGCGAACGCTAAATCCTGGAACCTACCCCTCAAACCCCCAAATCCTCAACTCCTTAACCCTCTCCCTGGCCGAAGCAAAAGCTGACCTCTCTCCTATAGTTATAATTCTGATGGTGCGATTCTGTAAGTCCCCACAGCGGCTCAGCTACTAAAACCCTGGTCGTAGAAATCGGTCCTTTGGTCCGATGAACGTTGGGCTTGTTGCCCCAGGTCACCTCTGTTGAAGAGGTTTGGGGTTGACGGATTTGATGTCTGCAGGGAGTTTAGGGCAATGTTTAGAAGAGCCTTCTTCATCAGGGGATTGTTCTGGTCTTCCGTGCGGAGGTGTTCCGTCTACATAAAGATGATGTGTCGGCGATGGGATGCTTCGGGAGTGCTTCGGAAGCAGTTGGGGAGTGCTTGGGGAGGGATGCTCTGGGGAGCAGCTGGTGAGTGGCTCGGGAGCACTAAAGAAGATAACTTGTAAATCTTACCATTGGAACCTCCCGAGGCCGACCCAGCTTCTGAAGGAAGTCCGAAGCGCACTCCCGAAGGCGAACCAAGGACTGAACTAAGATTAGGCCACACTCCCGAAAACGACACACAGAAACGGGCCAGGCCCGCAAAACTCCGGGAGCGGGAAACGGGAGCAAAGGGAGCAGCTCGGGAGCAGCTAAAAGCAGCTGCTCGAAACCTCGTCAACACCGTCCCTTATCGGCAAAAAAGCCACCTCAAACTATCCGGCGAAAACCCTGACCCACCACCGTGCTTACGAAGGCGACCCAGCAAGCACCGTGACACAACACCATGCTTTTACGAAGACGACCCAACAAGAAACATATCCGAAGACCCTTTCTTATATAGAAGGAGCACCTACTTTCCAGACACCTGAAAAAATCCTGAAAAACCGGTGGACTTCAAATAGGATGGGAAGACTTGGTGCCTGGCCTACTGGTGTGCAACTACACACACGCACACCGCCCAAAAGGAAAACAATACAACCCGACAAGGCCTTGTGCGGCAGGTTGTAGGTCCAGCCTTCTGGTGCCTGGCCGAAGGAGGGTCTGAGCATGGACAACGAGCTACCACTTATCCAAGATCAGGACACTTGGCAGGTAGGTTATAAGTAGCTGCATGACATAAGCAGGCCAAAAGGAGTAGCATAAGATGACCCCCTGATGCCGGCACCTAAAACTAAACGTGTGAGTCCTGCAGCTTTCGGCATAAACCCGTCACCCCGACCTGCAACCAACGAATCAAGCCCAAAGGCTACCATGGAAGCTTTCCTCCATCTCGCAATCACCACCGCATAATAACCTTAAATCCACTTAACATCTGGACAGCCTGCAGTGTAGAAATGTGTAGAAACACGTAGGGCGCAGGTTGAAAACACAGCCATCGACCCATCGGCCACACTGTAAGGCCTAGGGTCTCAGTCTAAGGTTTACACCTGGCATTTGACTTCCTATGTAAGGATTGAACCTCAAGCTGCCCATAGCTTTCTTGCACCCTTTGAGAAGAAGAACGATGCCCCTTAACTGGAAACAACTTTAGCTACGAGATTCCGACCTTTCCAAGGTCTGAAGCCTCTGACAAGCTGCAAAACCCGAGCCTTACACTTGCGATGAAGGCTCCACTGCTACGGCACGGAGCACGGGAGTGCTTGGGTCTGTCTGGCATAACATGGCTGCCTGGGGGCATCCGAAGCGACTAGAGTGAGCGGCTTCACGATGTTTACCACAGTAAGTTGACCTGGCTTGCCGTATCGTCCAGCTAATACCTCAGTTTGTTTGCGGATAGTCTCGTGTAAAGTTCAAATCTCGGACCTCTAGCTTTGAGCAGGAAATGCTACTTCCTGAAGCCTTTTTCCCAAACCCTACAAGCCCTAACTTCGAAATCCCCAATCCTGAAACCTAAAGCCAAAACCAGTAAGCCCCGAAAATGCTCCCGCCTCTGGACCGGAGTTGGGGTCGATGCGCCACTCCCACTGGCCCCGCTTGGCGTTGTCGCCGGTCCTGGCTTTCGGAAGTTGTGGAGTTTTGCAAGCTGTTTCTTTGAGAGACCTATAGGCTTGGGCTTTGGGGTCCCGGGGCTGCTGTATGGATTCCAGGCTTAGAATTGGTTAGTAATAAAAATTGTAGGCCTTAGCCTAGGGTGTGTGGGTATATATCTATATATATATATATGCATATTACACCCGTGCCGAGAGATCAGCTGGACGAAGCTATAGGATGTTCCGCGATGGGGGCTTTTCGGCGGATATTGCCAGCTTCATAGAACAGGCTTACAAGGTACCCCGTATTCTGTCTAGGCAGAAGCTTGAGTCGCATGTTTGACCAAGCTGCAAAAGGCGTTGTCAGTGCGAGTGCACTCGGCCTTTATGACCTTGAACCTCGCACCCGATCATCCCATCTTGCAAACCAGACAGACAGACAGACAGACAGACAGACAGACAGACAGACAGACAGACAGACAGACAGACAGACAGTGAGATAGATAGCTAGATGTATATTTTTTGACATATCATGAATATAGATATAAATATAAATGTGTATATGATTATAAACAGATAAGTAAATACATAAGTAAAAAATAAGTAAATAAATAATTACATATATATATATATACACATGTACACATAAACAAGCGTACTAAACACTGGTGCCCGTAACCGAAAGGAACCCTGATCTCCTTCTGATGATCCCCGCCAAGTCCAGAAAGCTGGCCACTTGGTCCGTGGGCTGCGCGCCGAACCTTCAAGGAAGCTTCCCCCGACAGGTGCAGCGTGTTGGGATTCGGGGATTCAGTCTCGTCTTCGGGGTGCCCGTGACCCAAGGAACTGCGGCTTTAGAGCTAAAGGGCTTTCTGGCCTATGGCTTTGTGCAACTTGGATTTCGTAGAATGTGTGTGGGCCTGCAGTGCGCTTTCGGACACTGCTGCGGCCTCTAGTTTACATTCGGGGTCTGTGGAACAGGGTTCTCCGAAACTATCGTAGACTGCTCGGCTTGACGAGACTTCGACTCGTGTTGAAGCTCAAGTCTACAATGCAAGCCGAAATGCTAAATCTCAAACCTGCATCTTTTGAAAGGCTTCGCCCCTACTGTAAACTCTGAGACATTTGCCGTGCCTCAACCAGTACACCAGGCGATCTGCTTTCAGGTACAGAGAGCTCGGGTCATCGAACTGCAACGCGACGAAGGTTGGGAATCCGGCTTAGGGTTCGGCGGAGCATGGAGTTTCCCACTTCATCGCATCGTGAATGTTGAAGTTAAGCAAGTGTCTCTGCCCTGCTTACCATGGCTTCGTGGGCACTCATTTTCTTTCAACAGGGTCTTCTTCAAAGTATGTTACAAGGTTACTAGGTGGTTTCTAGCTACGCGTCGAACGGGTTGCGCAGTGTGTGGCTGTGCTTGCCAGCGAAGGTGTTGCTGCAATTAAAGCCGAGAAGTCCGGATTCGGGCCTCGGATCCTTGGGCAATAGCCATGCATGCTTCTAACATAAAGGGAGGTACCTGTAATTTTCATGTTCTTTCTTGCACCGAACCAGGCGAAAACATCCTACCACGTGATGGGGCCTGGGTCATCATGATAACCCGAAATATGATAATCGTCTCAGCCGTGCCAGGATCTTTTGAGGTGGCTACCCTGGCGTTTAGGAGCTTAAAGAGGCTTGGTCTCAGGGTTCCCGTAAGCCCAAACCCTTGAACTCTAAACCCGTCAGCACCAAACTTCCGCCGGAATCTGCAAACCGTCTGCAACATGGCAAGCTTCTTTGCGCTGGGCTCACGGCTTCCTTCGTGGGATCCCACCAGCCGCAGATTTCAAGGAAGCGTCCACTCCTGTAGAATTCCATGTGCTCGTAAGGTGGAAAAAGGTAAAATATCGTCAAATGGAGAGAGCGAAGTCGGGAATACTCTGAAGGCTTTGAATCTCCGGAGTAGTGCTTCAAATTGAAGCTCTGCCAGGGCTCGCTGCGGTCAGGTTTGTTTGGAGTATCCGCGGTTGGGCACTTGCATTTACATGCTGGTGCAGGTCGCGATCCAGACCAGGGTTTAGGGTTGATCTGTCGTGGAGGGTAGCATGAGGGGCTGCCAGTCTGAGGTTTTGGGTGCTCGCACCTTTCGTTCTTCCAGCCCGTTTCGCAGTGCCCGCGGGGACGGGATGCGGCATCCTATTGACAAGGACCTTACAAGCTGGACCGCAAGGACCTAATCCTACGGTCTTGGTATAAGATTGGCGGCAAAGAGGTTTCTGTCTGAAAGGCTTCTGTGCATGATGCCTCATGGGTCCCTACACCGACCCTGATCCGAGGCCGCAGCTGTGCTCCAAGTTGCTTGCCGTAGACGGCCTGATGTGGATGCGTCGGGGCAAAGGAGCTCGAGGCTACAACTTGACAAGCTCTCCAGGGCTCGGAGCTCGGATGAAGCGAAGGCAGGACATCGCTTGGGCGCCGTTGAGTTTAAAAGCTTCAGAGCCCGGTGTTGGGTGGGCCATGGGCTGGAGAAGCTCTGCACCCCGGTGCCCTCAGCTCCGGAACGAGTCTTGAGACTCAAAGGATCCAAGACACTTCAGTGATGGACTTTGAGGGCTTTAGGTCTTCGGGTTCAGGAGTTCAGGGATCCCATGTTCTGGGCTTGAAAGTTTTCTGATTGAAAGACCGGGGTCTCGACCTGAGCCGCCATGCAGCTTCTGCAACAGCTCGGGCTGCCAGAATTGCTAGGACATGCTACCCTGTTCCAGACTGCCCGCACAGTACGAGAAAGATCCCTGAAGCACAGGTAGAACCAACACTATGTCCAAACTCAAATCCCAAAAGGCATAAACGCCTCAACCCAAAACCCTTATGCACCACAACTCCAAATCCCTTTTCAGATTCTACGGTTTCGCCCCAGAGATTAGTAGGAGCTCCTGTTTAGGTCCCGGCGTGTATTCTGTACCAAGGAGAGTGCTTGGTGCCGAAATCTTGAAGGCCTCAAGGCATTTCGGGTCTAGTCCTGGCACGCCGTCCTTACGGACTATTGGGTGCTCTTGGATTCTATGAGGTTCATGGTTCAAGGTTTCGGTTTGCTGCTTTTTGGGCTTCAGCTTCGGGGCTTCAGCATCAGGGCGGTGAAGCCCTGGCTTGGGGCCAGGGCTGTCAAGGCTTCAAGGTCAGGGCCGTCATTTGCTAGGATGTTTACGTTGCAGACGCTTGGTGTTAAGTTTCGGGTTTGGCAAATTCGGCAGCTACAGTTTCACTATGTCATTACATCGCTCTGCTAAATATTTACGCAATCAGCTTTACGGTTCGTGGTTCAGCAGTCCAAGTTGAGGGATGTATATTATCCAAATGTTGCGGCCTGCTGCATGGTGCTCTCTGGGTTTTGGCTTGTCATCTTGAGATTGGAGATTTTTGGGGTTGCCACTTGCTGCTAACTTCAAGCAACACAACTTGAAGACAGGTGTTGTGCCGCCGCAACCTGTAAACGACGGTCCAAATCGTGTTGATCAAGCTCCATAGCACAAGCGCGAGTAGAAGGTAGTATATGGCTCCGGAGACTAAAGGCCTGAACCATCTAAAAACCTTGTGCCCTCTACTTTGTATCCTCGACAACTTGAAGCAGAATCCTGGGTCCTAAGCCCTAAGCCATAAGTCGTTTAAAAGGCCTTGAAATTTCTGCAAGCCCTCATCCCAAGTCCCTAAAATCTGACAGTTCAAGCACTTATGCCTTATACCCAAAAGCCCCAGCCAGGTGTCAGGCGGAGCCGAATTCCCCTCAAAGGCTTCCTCCTGTATACGAAGCCTGAGGGACGTCAAGACAAAGTCAAGATTTCTAGAGACAAGGGATAGCAAAGCGTGGAAATTAAGGCTTAGGGGTTGGTGCGAGCTGTGGAGGTTGACGGTCGGGCTTTTGTGTTTAGCATTCTGCGTCCACGTGTACTGTACGCACAACCTGCATGTATTGATACAGCTGCAGCTAGTATCATCAGAGCCTCGTTTCCATAACCACCATGAAAAACTTGATCGGCGGCCAGATCTAGTTGCATCCGTATGTACATAATATAACAGGTTAAGCAGGGATAAGATTCAACCTTTAAACTTCATGGACCGGAGGATCGGGGCGGCATTTGAGTCGCACTTCCTTGTCGCCGCACTTACATGGGTAGTTGTCAAAATTATGGTCCCATTTGGGGTACCCTTATTAATAGGTGCCGTATTATAATAAGGACCCAAAAAGGGACCATAATTTTGACAACCACCCACATGGATCATCCGGACAACCAACAGCGAGTTGGCAAGCAACGGAGATGGGTTCTCCTGAAGGACGCAGGAATTTCCACCCCCGAGTTTCAAACTGTCAGGGTCTTTCCAAGGGAAACCCAGCAGTTGCCAGAGTCACCATCCAACTCTTGAGTTCTCCAGCAAACCAGTGGATAAAAAAGAAAGGATGATGCACAAGAGCTGACAACGCCCGGGTGAGTCTCACAGGATTCAGAGCACTGGGTAAGAGGAACGATGTTGGCACAACACCAGCGGTTCTTCTTTTCAACAAGAGCTGTTAATATCCTAGCTTACTAGTGCCATGAAATATATATGTATACTCTATTGCATATATATATATATATATACACAGACAGATACATGTTCGTCCAAGTCCCTGCTACGCCACAAGAGAACAGACCCTCAGTCTAACCCCTGTGATACTGCAAGCAATAGCGTACACCTTGCAGCAAGGCTAGAGTGCACTGCATCTTGAAGTATAGGGCCTGGTATAGGGATGAATTCAATGATGAGGAGGGAACACGACGTCTACTGATTGAGTCTCCAACATCGAATATTCAGCGGCTCTAGATTATCAAAGCCTTGGCGGCCAGTAGCCACAAAACCCACAAACAAATGGTTACGTCACCTGTAACCAGGCTAGAACCCATGAAATGGCAGGTAATTGTGCTACAGGGTGGAGTTGAAAGATCAATCAGGGGTTTATGGTGGGTCGTGTCAAATTTATATGCTGTCTCATCTGTGGAAAAGAAAAACGAAACAACAAGAAACAACGAAACCTGATAATACCACTGAGGTGGCGCAAGGCTTTGGCTTCCCAAACCCCAAAAAATCAGTATTGGCCAAACAGTGGCTGAAGGGTTCTCGGCTTAAGGTTCAGAGCCAACTGCGCTAGATTTGCGAACTTCAGGTCAGAACATGAGGGTTGGATTTGTCATGTAGTGACGCGAAAGGAGTAAGCCTTCACCCGCAACCATCAAAATCCGTGTGTACGCGCATGTACATGCAAATCATACTAGACGGCTGCACCTGCGTAGCGCTTGTACCTGGAGGATCCCTTGTACCTGACACAAGGTTGAATTTTAAATCCGAGAGATTTGACAGTCGTTAGGGTTCCGACAGACATGTCTGTGACTGAGTTGACGTCTGCCAACTTCAAGTCAGAGTGAAGGGTCCAGGCGAGATGCTTCATAGTTCGTGGTTACGGGCATCCACACGCTAAACCCCTGAACCTGACCAAGACCAGTCACCCAAACTGTGCTCTACACTGGCCTAAGCCTATGCTCTCAGATCTGAGTATCAAGAATTCCAAGTCCGCTCTTAGCTTAGCCGTAGCGTCCGTTCCGAGGCCTTGTCGCACCCTGTAGAACCCTTGTAGAATCCAGAACAAAGCCCGATAGTTTCATAGGCTTATGGTACCCTGACAAAGAACAGTCAATGTTTAGTTTAGTGGTTTAGGTGCGCCTGCGACCCTCAAACTGGTCGCCGCGGGCCACAAGCGACCTTCTGTGCATGTAAGGCGGGAGAGAGATGGGCCCGTCAAACTTCAGCAATGGTCCCACATTCTCAATTTTATGGGGGCCCGAGGGCTTCATCGGGGTTCAGGAGCCTGCAGCCTATGTTTAAGCCCTGGCAACTTTGTCAGATTGCGGCCGAAGCACTTCCAAACTTGTGCTCACTGCATCTTGTGGTTTGAGTCGGGTAGAAGAAGGATTGCTCAGATACCGACATCTGGCTAATGACAGCTCGAGTAAAAGTATTGTTTTCCTCTGTGGGCCACTGCGTATGGCGGGACACCACGGCAGGGGTGTTGCATCAACATCCTGAACCCACAACCCAGAACTTGTGCCTGTAGATGTTTAGGTCTGAGGCTGTTGCGGATGCTGTTGTCTCTCAGGTTGCAGGATTTGAGCTCTTCTGGCTTCAGACAAACAGCAGACAGGAGGGTTTAGGTTGAAGAAGGATATCCTGGCTGTAGACTTCTGAA